AGGGACAAATACTACATGGTGCCACTGTTATAGAATGGGTCTGACATCAGGGTGGGGGTATGACAGAAAAAACTGGATAAATTATGTATATTGTATTGAAACAGATGAGGGAAAGAACAGATTAGAAGTGATATATGATTGAGTATTATGGTTAGCACAGGAATCCAGAATTAAGGTTGCATAGAGAAGTGTACTGGGGGTAGGGGGTGGGGGGGAGGGGACGTGGGAATTGTATACTAATGAAGGATTTTTTTTTCTCTTCGTAGGGGGAAGAGAGCTGGTGGGGAGGGGTGCGGCAATGAATGAATGGAAATCCAAAACCTCTGTAAATGTCTATTAAAATTAATAATAATAATAAAAATGAAAAAAAGATGTTTACAAACTATATGAATATAAATAATGAATAATTACTTACTATTTAGTTTTCAATGGACACATGCTATATTCCTCCCTCCTTTATTTATTCATCGTTGTACATTTCTTTTCGCTTTCCTCTCCCTCACCTAGCTCATCTCCCAATGTACTTCTTGTACCAGATTGTTGAGATATATATATATATATATATATATATATATATATATATATAATATCTTCCCTTCAAAGAGTCAAAGAGTTCTTTCCCTTGCAGTGTTCATTATTTATCCACTCTTTCCGCATTCCCTCTCCAGCTCCCCTATGTCTGTCCTATTTTATAACAGCAATATTAGGCAGTATTTATCCTTTTGTAACGGAGATATTTCACTTAGCATAATGTCCTCATGGCTCCCCCATGTTGTGTAATGTTTTATTATTTCATTGTTTTTTAGTGCTGCACTGTATTTCATTGTGTGTATGTACCATAGTTTTCCCTATCCATTTATTTATTGATGGGCACTGGGGTTGCTTTCATCTCTTTGCTATTGTGAATAATGCAGCATTAAACATGGATTTGCATACATCTGTTAGAGTTGTGGCTCTGATTTCTTTAGGGTCTATGCCCAGTAGTGGAATTGATGGCTCAAATGGCATTTCTATTTCCAACTTTCTGAGAAGGTGTCAGACCTCCTTACATAGTGGTTGTACCATTTTACATTCTCTCCAGCTGTGCCAAAGATTTCCAATCTCTCTACAACTTCACCAGCATTTGTTGTTTGCTGACCTGTTGAACTTGACTGACTGTTGTTGCTGGGATCTCATAGTTATTTTGGACATATGCTAGACTGAGAAAAGAAATTTTCTTGTACTTAAGTGTTTCTTTAGCTGCAAATTGTATGTGAGTTTGTGTTTATTGTTTGCATAAAAGGGCCATAAAACATTAACATCTTTAAAATATTAAACATAAATTGGATTGATTTTCCTCTTCAAAGAGGAAAAAAAATAACTTTTTATTTCTGAATTAAGCACTGAAAGATTTGAAAAGAAGAGAATTTCTACTTTTTATAACCCTCATTTACTAATTTGTAATTTTTCTACTGTTTTAATGCCAAGACCCAGTGGAGTTGAATTATCCATCACTTCCCTAGTACCTTGTATCTAATTTGGCCAAATATTTAGGTAACTAACCAGATAGACAAAATTATCTTAGTTTTAGGTTTCATTATTAATTCTAAGTTAAAAAACTCCTAGAAAAAAAATCTTTGTATATAAAGTAATGGTATTTTTATCATTACACTTAATGGTATTCATTAAGAAGTTAAAACTAAAATGTAAGAATCATTTTTACTTCTCTTTATTCTTTACTATATAGAATCCATCATTAAGCACTCATTTTTCTAAGTCCAAAAACTGTATCTTAAATATGCCTATCCTTTCAACTGCCAACAGTTGGTTTTAGCCAACAGTTCAATTTTGAGAAACTAAATTATTTTTAATGACTAAATAGTGAAACTCACTCCACAATCATTTATTTTATCTCTTGCCCTTTTCTAGTCTACTTTTCTGTAGTTTCAGAGATCATTTACTCCACTTATATTGGGTAATTTCAGTTTTGTGCTTGTAATTTTTTCAGTGGCTATCATACTAGTTGGAATAAATCTGAAATCCTTACTATATTGGCTTATATTTTCTAAGTCAAAATTCTCTCAGCCAGAGTGACTGTGTCCTAATTGGAAAATAGGGTTTTTGCAGATCTAATTAAATCAAGTATCTTGAGATGAGGTCTTCCTGGATTCAGAGCAATCACTTTCCATAACGGTGTATGTCTTTATGAGAAGGTATTTGGGACCCAAAGATACAGACAGAAAAGGCAATGTGAAATTGAAAGCAGAGATGGGGGGCAGCCACAAGCTGATATTTATATAAAATTTGTATTGTATGTTAAAGGTCCTATAGATCTATCGAATGTTTCCTGTAGATAGACTCTGTATAATTTTTGTAGAGCTTAGTGGAAACAAATATATTTTCTCATCCTTTGGAGTGAACTTACAAATGCATCCCCTAGCACAAGTCAGGCCTCTCGATCTGTCTCTCCTGAGACATCTGGCTAGAGGCACTCATCTGATTCACTTATGCATTTCTGAGGTACAGAACTGTGAAAGAATAAATATTTGTGATATTAAGTTACTTAACTGTAGAGTATTTTGATATACAGTAACAAATAATCAATAGACAAATCTTGTACACAAAATTTTGTATCAAATTATGCTTGAAAACAAGCAAACAAGCACAATATGCAAATAATAATTCGTTATTCTGTAATATTGATAATAATTATACAAATATTGTAAAGAGATGAAACATGACCTGATTTCAATTCATTTGATCCGGTTGGTTTGTTAGTCAAAGTGAATGAAATGAAATTTTTAAAAAAAGTTTTTTCCTTTAATGAAATGATTTTGAAAAGAGTTGTACATTTCCAGCACTACAGTTTCTGGAATCACAGTAAGGCACATAGAATTAATTATACTCATTCCATAATCACGATGAATGCTAACATCTCTACCAGTTACTTCTGTTACACAGCATACAAAATTAAGAAAATGACCATTAGACAAAAGAAACCCATAGCTTCAGACAAGACAAATCCCAGGATCGCATATGAGAACAGCTGCTGCCTCAGTGCAGGGTTTCTGGCATAACCAATGATGAGACTGCTAAAGATTGTTCCGATACCAGCACCAGAACCAGCCACTCCTGCTGTTGCAGCTCCTGCAGCAGTAAATTTGGCAGCAGTATCAATGTCTCTGTTGATTACACTGGCTTGACACTGCTTTTGGATTAGCATCATTCTGAGCCCCACTAAACCTTGCTGAGCCCTCTCCAGTCCTCGCTTCTGGCTCAGATAACACTTAGGCAGTAATTAGTCTGTATGCAATCCTGGATCCAGCTCGGATCAAAGCAGGGATGCAGGCAAGCTTGTGTCAGGCAAACATCTTAAATTCTTCAGGGAGGCGAGGCTGCAGAACTAGGGTGACAGGTGGTGAGAGCTCTTCTGTTTCCTTCCTTTTCCACAGTGTTAATGGCAAAGGTCAAAGTGGTGGGGCTGAAGTGATTTTTAAAATGCTAAAGCTTTAAGGGTAATTCTCTATGAAAAATTATAAAACATGCTTAAATTTGAGCCTTGAAATTGTCATTAAATGCCATCAAGTGCCTCCAAATCATAGTGATAACTATGTACAACAAAGATGAATGAATGCACAACATGGATGAAACTCTGATCCTCTACTGTCCTCAAAATTGTTGCTTTGTTGGACTTCACTGTTGCAGCCCAATTTGGATTTAAACTTATAAATTCATTGTTATAGGTCACAATTAATGATTGACTCATAATATTTAATTTTAAAAGTAATATGCCCTCTGAGCAACAGAGACAAACTAGGATTTAAAGCTTATAAATGCACTTATATTTTAGTTAAACTTAACTCTATGAAGAAAAATGCGGAATCAGGATAGGAAAAAACTCATCAACAACCTGTATTATGCAGATGGCATGACTTCGCTTGCTGAAAATGTGGAGGATTTGAAATGCTTGCTTCAGAAGATCAAAGACTGTAGCGTTTAAGGTAGGTTATGTCTCAACATCAAGAATACAAAAATTTTCACCACTGGGCTGACAGGCAACATCATGATGGATGAAGAAAAGATTGAAATTGTTGAAAATTTAATCTTGCTTAGATCCTCAATTGACACCCTTGGCACCAGGGGTCAACAGACCAGAAGACATTGGGAGAGTCTTCTGTAAAGGAACTCCCCCAAAGTACTCAAGAGCAATGATGTCAGTTTAAATACCAAAGAGCACCTGGTCCAAGTCATGGGTTTTTAAATAACTTGATGTGAAACTGAGAGCTGGACAGTGACTAAAGATGACAGAAGAAGAATTGATGCCTCTGAGTTGTGGGGTTGGAGAGGAGTACTGAATATCCCATAGATTGCCAAAAGAGCGAATAAATATATCTTGGAGAAGATGCAACCAGAGTCTTCTTAGAGGCAGGAGTAGTGAAGCATAGTCTAATGTACTCTGGGTATGTATAAGGACGGGCATTCCTTGGAAAAGGGCGTCATACTTGGAAAGGTGGAGGGTCAGCAAAAGAGAGCTTGAAGACTCTCACTGAGATGGATTGACATAGTGACTGCAGCAATGAGCTTAAGTTTGTTGTAGATAATTAGGATGGTGTATAGTAAGATAGGCTTCAGATCTGTTGTTCTTAAGGTCACTATGAGTCATGCTTGACTTGATGGCACTTAACAAGAACAACTTACATAGAATATTTATATACATATTAATATGCACAACCATAACATATAGAGATATATCTGTCTACACACACACACACACACACACACACACACACACACACACACACACAGGTACAACCTCACTTCCTCACTTCTTTGGCGTTAATAGTACGTTTTTGAGTGAAGAAAATTAAGTCCTTTTTTTTTTTGATAGGAAATCTTGAACTCTTGGTGTGTTTTCAGACATTTCCTTTTATAAATAAGATGTTAATTGTAACCAGGAGGTGTCTTAGGATTGATCAGATATTGTGACCCCCCCTTATTTATATATTTGGGTTTTTTTGTGGTTACTGGATATTATTTTTATTCAAATCATCAAGCACATCCTGCTTTTCAATTTTGTACCATGCGTCAGGGATCTTCCCTTTATCTAGGAATTTTTTCTGGTATTTTTCCTCGAGTTTTGATCTGAAGTGACAGATGAACCACTTCCAGTATGGCTGTGTGGATGAATCTGGAGGGATGTTCCACTTGGCATACTCTCCTCCTGCCTTTCGATACTTTTTATAGGGGATTTTCCTGCCATCACTACAAACCATTGAACAGTCACTTGCTACCAAAATATTACAGCAATCGATAGCAAAATTATTTGTTTCATACCAGCCTCCTCCATCTACAGCCCGAGGACGGTGGAAGGGAACACTGTGGTCTCCTTCATGGATAGGAATTGTGTTTGTACAGATTGCTCCACAACAGGGACATTGGTTCCAGCAGCCGCAGAGATGTTCAGAGAGCAATATTTCAATTTCAGGAATGATATTTTCTGCATACACACGTAGAAAATCCTGTTCTATTCTTTTCATTGTGGGTCCCAAAGTTCCACTCATTGCTTCTTTGAGAAATTCGTAATCTTTTATCTCCTGGTGCTCAATGTTCACCAGGTCTTTTCGTGGAAAACCCAAATTATTTCCTAATTGATCACAGAAGAAATCCAGCCATTCTGAAGCAGTGCTGCTTTTATCTTGAGCTATTTTAGAAGATTGGTGAATGGCTGAGAGGATAACATATTTTATGTTATCTAAACTGATTTTTAAAAAGGTTTTAATTGTTTCACTTTTGTCTGAACAGTATCTGCTAATATGCTGTTTAATGTAGTCCCTAAAAAATGACGGTGGATGGTGAAGGTATTGCCAGTACTTATCAAAGTTTTCCTCTTCAGCCAGAGAGATCAGAATGTGTTTCTCCAGGTTAGATCTGTTTCCCTTGAATGCAGGATAGTTTTCTCTCATATCTCCAGCAATTTTAGGAGCCATATTGTTCTTAATGGTGGTGGAGACAGCAGGTGAGATCTTGTGCCACAGAAAATCAACAAAAGTTTTGATGGAGGTTGCTCCTTGGCAAGAGATCTTAAAACTCATGAAGAAATCTTCTTTCTTGCTCTCTAGATAGTTTACAGGATCATTTGCTCTCTTGAATGTGCAGTGAAGCTCCTTAAATATTTGTGATGCTTTTTTGAACAAACACAAAGATAAGTCAATTTTGTATTGAACTGTGAATTTGTATCTGTCCTGGGTGGGTAGAGCTTTCATCTCTGCATCTATCATTTTTAAGATTTTATGAAAATCATTGTGATTGTAATCACATTTTTGTTTTTCGATGTTGTCAACAATTCCAGTAAATCTTGAGTGAATGTGGTCAGTTGTCATATTTATGGACTCTATATCATGAGGCTCTAATGTCTGTTTGAAGAGTCCATATTTCTTGGACATTTGGATATGTTGATCGTAGTTGATTTGAAATTTTTCTCCAGAATGACTCTTTATTTTATCCACCATATTTTTCTCCTTGTTGAAGTATTCCAAAAGAATGTTTTCAGAGTCTATCTCAATGTCAGGTTCTGTGGATGGAGGGAGAATTGAGGCCACATGACAGACCCATTTGTTCCAAAGTTGATTGAACTTCTTGCGTAGCTCTTCCTCTGTCAGCTCTTTGCCCTTTACAGTTAAAGCCAAATTTCGACTTTTTTCCAATAATTCCTTTTCATAACTTGACTTCTTTTCATCCAGATTTTCTTGACTTTTCTTCAAACATAGAAGCTCATTACTTTTTCTCTTACTTTCTGAAATGAGTGTCTTTTTAAGAATTATCAACTTATTTTCAAAATTTGCTTTCCACTGAATTAATACTTCACTATCTGGATCTTCACTGAAATATTTTTCAAGGTCTTGCTTGATGCTTTCATATTTCTCTCCCACTGGAACCTCAACTTCACTGGGGGTGAGAGTCTCAATTTTTCCATTCTGAATCTGATTGGT